AGGGGGAAGCCACGGGGCTCCCTCCGCCGTGGGCTGTGAACTCAGAAGGTGACTCAGCAACCCAGTCCCCGGCACAAGCGATGGGCGTGTGGGCTAGCCAGCCTTTTTGACGTCCTCGACAGGAAAAACCAGACCAAGCAAGGAAAGCAATAAGGAAGATCCTTGCCGCAACAACGCCGAAGGCTGCAGGTTGCACAAACCGGGATCTGCTTCGGGTTTTCCTTCGTTTGCCACCCCGAAAGCGTCCACCTTTAAAACTCGCCCACGGGACGGAACCCCGCAGTATTGCCATCCAGCCACGCCGGTTCCCCGGGCGCAGGTCTCCAGCCGTGTCACCGTAGTGCAGGAACTACAAAAACCCATCTTATGGTCCCTGGAAGAGCCACAGATTTTCTACGATGGGTTGCAGGCCAGCCCCTCAATGCCCAAGCAAAAAACACAACAATAAACCAGCTACTGTGGTTCGCCCAGATGCAAAAAGCCCAAAACCCCGGGGGGGGGGAGAAGCTTCCCATAGATGGGGAAACCCGACAAATTCCAGATTGTCCACCCTCCTGCAGGAAGCTGACACACAGATTAGTCACGCGACAGGGCTGAGAGCGAGGCGAGAACGCCAGCCGACAACTGCCCAGGAACAACTGGGAAGCAGGATTTTCCCTTATCATAAGTCAGGAATCTGGAGGGGAGGTAAAACTCCTCCCGGTTTCCGATCTTTGGGGATGATGAAGCAGCGTCCAGAAATGCGAGCATCCACTGATCCGGGCAGGTCATCTCAGGCCAGAAACCACACCTCAGTCTTAATTGTTCAAAAGCCTTGGGGATTTACATCCCCAGAACAGTTCAGATTGACCACAAGATATCTAAGCCACGTTCATGGCTTTTAATGCCACCCATCTACTGTTTCTGGAAAGAACAGCCCTTAAACCAGGGACGGGCCAAGTGAGCCCACCCAGATATCACTGGGCTGCGATCCACGTTGCTCACCCCTGCGTTCCATGATTTCACACTTGAAAAGCTGAAATATGTGGGGTTTCCTTCCCGGAAGGCCTGGCTGCAACCTTAGACTTCAAAACCTTAGATTTCAAATCATTCAATGGACAGCACTCAAGTTTCTAGTCCCTCACGTTTAGAAAATAGAGGACCCATCTCTGTTGATCTTGCAGAAAATCCAACAGAGTTGCTGATTTAATAATTCTCCCAGTCAAGAGGCAGATATTTAAAATCTTAAATGTATATATATTTCTCACGAACACAGAGAACACTCAAACAGGAGAAGCAACTGTCAGATTTGTCATCAGACCTTAAGAAACCAAGGAATTATCCAAACATCACATCGAGCTGGGCTTGACAATGGATAATTACGATTCCATGCTGGGTTTGAATTTGCGCTTTCCAGGAAGTATCTAAAGTTCTAAATCTGTTTGGGAATTAAGATTCAGAACCTTGGATAACACCCGGAAAGCCTGGAGTGGATTTATCACCCCCATGAAACTGGAGTTCCCTTGGGACAAATGGTCATAGGTTTAATCCCCAATGTCTCCAGGGAGGGATAGGAAGAGACCTGGCCAACAGTGTGGAAAATTATTGCCAATCAGTATTGACCACACTGAGCAAGGCAGAACAAGTGTCTGTGTCAATAAGGAACAGTTTCTTATAGGCAGCGGAGCCACTACTAAAAAGGCCATGTCAAGGTGCCTGATCCAGCTATCTGTTTTATGCTAGACCCATCGCCCTCTCTCTATATATATATACCTTCTTGTGTTTTCTATTTATTATATAGATCCTGCTTTTCCTCCAAGGAGCTTACAGTGACATACTGTACACAACTCTGCTCTGCCCCTCCCACGTGATCCTCAAAACAACCTTGAGAGGTAGGCCAGGCAGAAACGGTGTGATTGTCCCACATTCAATTTCCCAACCAAGAGTCTTTCTACAGCCAGGTCTCTTTTGCTCCCAAATCCCCACACTCTACCCACTCATCCACACTGCCTTCAGTTTTAAGCAAGATTCCACAGAACCTTTTCCCCTTCGTTACGTGCCTCGCGTTTTGGCTGACGACGCATCCTTTGGGAACAAGAAGTTAATCATAATTACAAAACCCGCACCCAATAATAAGACCAATAAACAAAGGCCGTCCACTGGCCACGGAAGTCTCAGCTGCAGGAGACAGAACGACAGGCCACGCTCTTTCGAAGCAGGACAGGAGGAGGAGGAGCGACAGACGCCCCGGCACATGCAGGCACCCGATAACCCGAGGAACGAAAACAACCAGCAAACGCATGATGCACCGAGGTTGCTTGACTGGGTTATCATCTTACACAACCACATTCCGGGGAGGGGGGGGAGGAGAGAGAAAAACAGGAGGACCAAAGGGCCGAAGGAACGCGAGAGATGAACAGGGTTGGTTTATTACAAGGGGAAAAAACAAATACAACCCGCCCAAAACCGGTCCTTGTCTTTAGTCCATCGGGTGGAAGAGGCAAACCACCGATACATCGCCTTCAAATAATCTCGTCGTTAATGGCCAGAAAAACTCACAGGATGGCCTCTGGGTGACCGCTCCTTCTTAACCTGGCCTTCCTCGCAGGGTTGCTGTGGAAATAAAAGCAGGGCAGGAGCCAAACGACATACACGGCCGTGAATGGACCAGAGGAAAGCGGAAATACAGATGCATCTAATTCATAAACTTGTTTTATTGATCCCTTTTGCATTTGTTTATTCACTGTCGTTAGCTTTAAGTACTATATTTAATGATAGATGCCGCCTTGGGTGTTTTTGAAGGAGAACGGCAAAGTAAACAAATATTTAAAATAAATTTGAAAAACTGATATTTTGCAGAAGGGCATTATTATGAGAAGGTGGCCTCTCGGTGTGATGAGCAGCAGAGCTGTTATAAGATACAGGGGTTAAGGGGTGTTACAACTGAACGCCCCACAGATTCAAAATCTCCCAGCTGACGGAGATTCAAACCACCAACAGTATGACTGTTTTCAGGTTTACACATGGCGCGGCAATCAGACCCTGTGTTTTATAAAGCAGCAAGTTCTGGCCAGCCCAGAAAGGGATGCCTCCAGCAAGACGCTTGCACTAGTGGTACACCTTGCATGGAAATTCTGACGTTGGCTGTGCTAGACCCCCAGCGAGGAAGGTGAAAAAAGGAAGGTAAAATTTCTGCCTGTGACCTGGAGCTGCAGCAAAGGAAAACCTAGGAAGCAATAGGCGAGCCATCTGCACATCTCTGGATAGCTCAGGGGTCGAGGTCTCTGGCTGTGGAGCCGGAGGTTCGGAGTTCGAATTCCCCCACTGGGCCTCCTTGTCAAGGGCTGGACTCGGTGATACCCAGCGTTCCCTTCCAGCTCTGCAGTTCCAAGATTATTATGTTCTAAGAAGACAGAGCAAGCTAGTCTCCTGTAGTTCCAGAGGTCAGAGCCAAATATAAGGATTCAAATTACGAGAAAGCAGAAATTAGCCCTGCTAATTGACTCATGGAATACAGTGCCCATCGCTCTTGGCCACCAGCCCACGCTGGCTGGGAAGGATCAAAATTAGCACCCGACCGTTTCTGGGATGCTCCGGAGTGGACGGTCGGAACAATCACAAAGAGAAGCAGGATTCACTAAAATTCACACTTCCGTCTTTGGCTACCCAGTCGCTCGAGGTGAGGACGAAGACACACAAGAGAGAAAAGAAAGTACTGAAATGCTTATTAGTTTTCGGCTAATGTGGCTGCTTCCTTTGTCCCCAAAGACAAGACATGGCATTCCCAAATCTTGAAAGAAAAAGAAACCAAAAGATTTCTTAAGTTTTATTTAAATGTCTCCCCATGCTCTGAGAATGAGGTTTCAAGTCAATAAGGCTCTCCTTGCGTTTGCCCCAAAGGGTATGAATTCAGGGTAACGCAAGCACGATTGTCAGGTGCAGGGAGATTGCCGTCTGATGCAAAAGGTGTATGTGACTCTCCCCAAACCACAATTCCTACACTCTAACCACTCTACCAAACATCCACAGAGGAAGGAAGGGGGAAAAAATATAAAAATATCAGACATACACAACACGTCCCAAAAGTTATAAGAATCTAGCACACGGGCCAGCCCGGCTCATAATCCAGTCCCCGTGACTCGCTGGGTGGCCGGGAGAGTAAGTCCTTCTCCAGATGTAAAAACGACGGAAGGATGGATGCTGCCCAGGCTGTTGGAAACGTGATGATGGCCGCCTGACCCAGACACAGCTCTGAACAAGACACCGGAACCCGGGACACTCTGAGCAGCCTCGACAGGTGTTTAAAAGGAACGCCGGCCTACCTCGCAGGGTCGCTTGTTCCAAAAAAAAAAAAAAAGCAAAATCCAGGTGGGTTCTGGATTTTGCCTCTAGGGCGGTCGCAAGGTCCCCTCTGAGCTGAACAGGTCTGCCCCTGTTTGCAAAAAAATCCTATTAAAAAGCATGATGGCATTTGAGGCATTAAATAGCTTTTCTGCTCTTCTGTCCTCCATTGAAACAAATGGAGTTACAGAAATAAAATGAAAATGAATGACCTGCCGACAGATCACTCGCCTGGTGTTTAACACCCGGAACTGAAACATGCACAAAACAGTTCCTCACAGTTATTTACATGGAATGCCATCCCCGCATTCGTGTACACGTGTTCCGAAGTTACCGCACAGACACGTGTTTCTAAAGCAGGTCCCGACCCACGACCGTGCACCCGGGCCTCCCTCTGGAGCCCCCAAAGTTTAATAAAAGCAGAAAGAAAGGGCTCCCTTCAGAAAGCCACCCCTAAAGGGGTTAAAAGGGGGTTGCTGGGCAAGCAAACCGGACCTTGAAAGACCCGAGGGCTCCCTTAATCCGGAGTCAACTCGCGGCCGCGTTCAGACGCCAACAGGAGCACGGCACCCAAACCCGAGTGGTGAGGACGGACCCTCTGACTTGACCGGAGTTCCCCGGACGGAGAGCACGAAGGAAAACAAGAGGAACCTTTCCTGCAAACCCCTCGGCTTTCTTACCTCCCTAAGAATCCGGAGTAGAAACCGGAGTAGACCATCCCGAGGTAGAATCGGGTCCTTTTTCCCCGCTGGATCCGGAGAAGGACGCCGATTATGCAAGCCTGGAAGGCGGTGGTGGTGGTGGTGGGGAGGCAAACTCCTTGGAAGGCAAGCAGAAAAATCAGAATATTCGGGGGTTGGGGGTGCAGTTATAGGATCGAGGCACCTGCCCCCACTTTCTGGGGGTGCAATTCGGATTGAGCCCTGGGGGTGGCGGCGGGGGCGGTTGTTCCTGCTGCTTCCTGCCGGACGGTCCCCATCCCAGGGCCGCGGAAGGGGGAAGCCACCCGGGAGCAGCGCCTCTTCCTCCTCCTCCTCTTCTTCCTCCTCCTCCTCCGACCGAG